GGAAAACCCTAGATTGAGTGCGCAGAGAACAGAAATCTGGGCAGATCCGAGTTGCTTAGTTGAACTCTGATACCATGTTATAATTCGGCCTGCCTTTGAGTTCTGTTAGTCTGGTAACAGTCAAGAAGAAAGAGGAAGAAAGAGGGAAGAAAGAGAGAGAGAAAGGAGGAGAAAAAAAGAGAGAAGAAAAGTCTGGGTCGAATTAGGGAAAAGTCACTCTCCCATTTGGCCAGACATGTTTTTTATATTATTAATATAATGGAAAAGACACATGTGCCCTTATTTAAGTGAGGGACACTAGTTCTAATATAATATTACAGATCAGCAACCTCAACATAAGTATAAAGACAGAAATACCTCTACACTAACACAAGGCTTACCCTTAGTTGAATATCTTATTAGAAAATGTCTGGGTGTGTAAGATTGTTTGGCACTTAGTTGCTTTTCAAATAAAAGAAAAAGAAGGGAGCAAACAAGCTGCCATCCTTTCTATTTAAGTTTTGGTCCAATATGATAATAAAAAGGAAATTACATATGTACCCTTGCACCTAAGTACATTAGAAAGATAGTACATATGACAGGACTATTGTCTGCTGTCTTATGGTTCTTGTAGTGAATCCTGTTCTATCGGTTGAAAAGAAAAAGGTAGTATAACCATCTGCCCTAGATTGGTGCTGTTTCCAAACCCTTTGAAGGTGCTATCTAACAACTGACTATGTAAGTACAAAGTTATAACTGGACTCCTAGGTTTGTCAGCATTATGGAATATTGGTTAGCAAAAACAAGGAGCAACTGGAAATCATTTATACCGTGGATTGATTTCCCAAGGTGGGGAACACGTAAAAATCAGAGGGTGGCTAGTCTAGGCACATTTGCTATGTGTATACTGTATACCATTCTTTATAAATATAATCAATAGTTTTTGATTTTTAATGATCAAAGAAACGAAAACACTCTAAACTTGCTACATGCTGACTCCTTGTAGAACCCTACTTGCTGATTTCTGGAATTTTCTTTTCCTATATTCTTTTTTCTATGACTTAGCATTACTTTTATTAATAATATATGTGCTAGTTCTAATATATATTGCAGTGAGACTTGTCATTCTTCCTTTAAATTTCTAGACTATGCCCCTATGGCTTGTGAACTTCTGCAGATTACTTACATATATATATATATATATATATATATATATAATCTACTTATGTGTGAATGCAGCTTATGATCTTTGCTGCAGGGTATCTGAGAAAGACTGGGGAGCTGATTTTAGAAAGCTATCCCCTGGTGCTGCTCTTGTTGGCTTGACTTTATGGCTTGATCATATGCAAGTAAGCTGATTTTTCTCTCTTTGTGTCTCTTTTTCATAATAAGCATTCTCTTTCTATATCTCTTACAAATTTTAATTCTTTTGAGTTTTGAAATGCCCAATTGAAACCTGTTATTCTGTTAAGTAGTGAAAGCAGCACATGCTCTTAGAACTTGTTTTACTGTATTGAAACATTTTGTATGGTTTTCTTCTGCATCCTGAATTAATTATTCAATGTAGTTTTCTTCTGAATCTTCAATGGCATTTGCATCTTTTAACAAATTCTTTAAGTCTGGATTTCAACATCATTTGGCCATAAACAAAATTAAAGTAACTTTTGACTTTGCTTATATGTTGGCCAAGATTTTCTTTAAAAATCTGATACCCTATCCAGCTGTGTCCTTGTTGTATCTGGGTAACATAGTGGGGGATCTGCACAGAGTGAGAAAACTCAATGCAGGACTTTTTTTTTTTAAATGTTTCATGGAAAAGAAGAGGTAGAGAGGGTAGTGGAATATGAAGGACAGAATAGGGTACCAAAACTATGAATGAGCAGATGGTGTCCACTAGCTGGAACAGTAAGGATGTGTGTTTGTAGGAGAATAGTGTGGGTGAAAGTGATTGGTATTCCACTATGCACCTGGTGTTTTCAGATATTTGTAGTGATTGGGGGGGTTATCTAGGGAGGTTTATAAAGATTGACCATAGAAATAGAATGTGGGATCAGATTAATATGGCTAGAATTTTGATTGAGGTGGTGGACATGCAGATATTTCCACCTCACATAGAACTGTTGTTTGCAGGAGAGAATTGTGAATTAAGGTTGATGGTGGACAGGGAGGTTCCAATGTGCATCAGAGCATGTGAGAATAGGTTGTAGAATGAACCAATGGGTGTGGACATTTGAAGCAAGGGATTGGACTACTGGAGTTCTACCAAACAATTCTGAGTGCAGAGGTGTTAAGGAAGACAAAGGGGTGGAAGGAGGAAGATGATGAACTAACAGTTACTGGGGCTATCAAGGTAATTTTTGAATGGGGCTTGGTAATGGAAGGAAGGTTCAAAATAGAGGAGACAGGGCAATGTAAGTTCAGTAATCAAGTTTGATGGTTAATAAGGAAGTGGGTTTATTGGTAAAGGAAAATTATTGGTGGCATCCGCTTTTTAAGAAGTATAATAAAGTTTGGACTGAAAGAAGAAAATGGGTATTGTTGATGCTCGGCTTGGCCAAGGGCAACAAAGTAATTTCACTCCCGAGCTTCAAAGGAGGGGGCTGAAGACTTCGAAGGTCCAAAGAGGGAAAGCCAAAGCCGAGGACTACGTCTGAGGTGGAAGGTCTCTTCAGATACTGTAGAAGAGGGCTAGTGATGAGTGTGCCATGCGAGGGGTCCGAAGGAAACTTCGGTACAGATCCTGCAAGGAGTGAAGTGTTAGAGGCCTCGGGTGGTCACCTAAGGCGAGGACTCTGACGATCAAGTTAGTATATGCGCAAGGTAAGTGATGAGTCTAGAGCCGAGGGGTCCATACGAGGTCTCAGATAGCGCCAAGTCCTTAGTGGAGAGAGCGCTAGAGATCACAAGAATTTCGAGTCTAATCCCTTACCTTGTGGGGGGTGCCTTGCATTTATAGCCGGAGCTTCCAAGGGGTAGTTGGGCTCGGATGGTCCAGATGCAAGCCGTACTAGGGCCTGGCTAGATGTTTTGCCAGTGCCATGCAGCGCCCTGCGACTGGGTCCGCCTGGTCTACGTCAGGTAACCCTGAGCACCCTCATGGTAAGCCTATGCAGGTGTCCTCTATTCAACATGCGTCAGCCTTGTACAGGCCAGCCGAATGTGCCTACATCAGGTATCTTAAAGCAAGGATCAAAATGTCGACACCTGATACCCTCAAGTGGGTACCAATGTGTATTGATATGGGCAATACTCTTTTTTTTTTTATAGTTTTATAGGTATTAGAGGGATGCTGTTAAAGCCCTTAAAGTTTTAAAACCCCCAAACTTGTTCTATATTATATCGTTGTATCCATGCATTTTGGGGTCCATTGATATGGATATGATAAGCCCGATACAGTCCACTGATGTGTTTTGGGCATATCGTATTGATATTTTGAACCTTATCTTAAAGTATTAATGAAGAGTTAAAATGGAGTTTCCTTTGAGAGACAAGGGAAGGGGCAGGGGAATCGTCTAGAAGAGTTTAAAAAGCTTAACACTCAAAATAGAGTGGATATCAGAAATAATGGTTGACAAGCAGATGATGAAAATGGGTATAAGTTGCTACAAGATTTGATTGGATGAAAATAAAGAAAAAGTAGAGGAGACTAATGACAAGACTTTTATTTTTATTTTTATTTTTTAATTTTTATTACAAAAAAAGGTTGTAAGGCAAGGCGTTAAGCATAGTTGTCAAGGCGACGCCTAGGTGCCAAGGTGCCCTTGGAGGCTTGCCTCACCTAAACGCCAAGCAGTTTTGTACCTTCTATTATAAAATACTTTTTTATTCTTTATTTTTTGAGATTATAATTATTAAACTAAAATATTCATTTTGTGTGTTTATATTACTAATCAACACATTTCCTTCTTCCACATCTTCTTCTTCTTCTTCTACTTTTTCTTCCATATTTTCCATATCTTCTTCTACTTTATCTTTTCTTCTTTTCCTATAACAAAAATAAAAGGTTCAGCCCCTATATATTTTTAATTTTCTTTTCTTTCTTCTTTTTCTTCTCATGAATGTGTTGATTTTTCTGTACTTTAACATGATGAACTTTATACTTTTCTAATGAAAATTATGAATAATTACTAAGGAAATATGGTTATGGTACCTAGGGAACTACCCTAGGATCTATGTTTCTTACTTAAAAAAGTCCATCACCTAGGCAACGCCTAGGCGCCCACCTAGGCGACTATGTGACAAGGCACCCTCTTGTTTCCTAGCCTCGCCTTGGCGCCTTGAAAACTATGGTGTTGAGGGAGAGAGGAGAAAAAAAGAAGAAAGGAAACCAAGAGAGTGAGAAGAAAGAGAATTCATCGGCTTGACAAAGTGAAGTAGTGAATATGCAAAAAACTAGGAGAAGATGAAGCAAGTGAAAGGTATGTGTCTAGAGATTGATTGTTCTTAGCAAAAGGTAGCAATGGAGGGTCCAGTGTGGAGGATAGGAGAAGTTAGGTTAGAAGAAGAGGCTTTTGGTTCTACACTACAAAGGGAAATGGGTGAATTGAGCTAAGTAGAGTGAGAGAAAGAGATGGTAGACATGAAGATTTGGGGTGTGTATGTAATCTCACAATGAAATGTAGGTGAATATTTGGAAGTAAAAGAGAATGTTCAGGGTATTCAAAATAGCAAGGACAAAGATGGCCAGGAGAAAGAAGAGCATAGTGTTGAGGGGGAGAAGGAAACTCTTTAGCTAGTGAAGATGGATGGATATCAAATTGGTGGTGCTTAGTTCGGTGCATGGACTTGAGATAAGCTAGGTCTAGTGAGCCAATATAGTTCAGGTGTATAATAAAAGGAATAGGTACAGAACAAGACTAACAATAGAGAAGAATTGTGTTGAAGACAAAGAAATGGAGGTGAGGGAGGTGGCAAATGAAGATTACTCAGAAAGATGTATAGAAGTAGTGATGCTCCATTAGATGAAACTCACTTCACCAACTAAAGATACAATTTAGAGTGGGTAGTGGTAAAAGTAGATCACAGAAAGTTGAGGGTAATTTCTTAAGAAATTTCACAAAATTCGTTGAGAACATATTTTTTGATCAGTAAAGAAGAATTTTATTTGGAATTAGATTTAAAATTTTACAACTTTGTGTATGGAATTCGAATTCCCACACTATTACCTATTTCTGTCCCTCTTTACATTGCAGCCCAAAACAATTGTTGCCTCAAAGCCCCTTGTTTAGCAAGATAATCAGCTAGCCCATTTGCACTCCTAACCCATTTGAATTCAGCCTCTACCTCCCTTGCGACCTTTTCCACTTCCCTTATCACTTGTTTGAAAGTCCATGGAGTAGTTCTATTGTTTTTAGCCCAAGAGATGATCACCTTGGAGTCCCCTTCAACCTCAGTATGCCTCATTCCTAGTTGCTTAGCTATCTTCAGTCCTTGTAGCATTGCCATTAACTCAACTTTTAGAGAGTTTCCCATGCCAATAGGTCTAGAGAATAATGCTAATATTCTCCTATCAGAATTTCTGATTACTCCCCCAATACCTGACAGTCCCGGAAGTTTCCATTCCATCCTTACTCTCTCTTTTACTCTTGAAGATTGTGCTACTTCTGTCCAGGATCTTATAATGTCCATAACTGAGAAATCTTGAAAGATATGCAAAGATCTTACCCAATGAGCTACTTTAACTTTAATTGTGTCGATTACCTCCTCAATTATTCTACTCTTGTCCACGAATATTCTGTTATTCCTTTCTTCCCAAATCACCCAACAAATAGCTTCCTTTGTAGCTTTCCACATAACCTTCCCTCTTTTCTTTGGTTGCCTCAAAAAATTTCGGTTGAAAAGTCCTGCCACATCTTAAGGGGAAACCCACCTGCAACCAAAGAGAAAACAAAAGAATTCCCAAATGTGATGCACAAAGGAACAAGATGCATCAAGGTCACCTTGATGCATCAAGGTCTCACCAATTTCCTTACAAAGGGAGCACATGTGAGGAGAAAGGCAAGTAAAAGGCCACCTTCTCTGCAGCATATCACAAGTATTAACCTTGCCAAGGAAAATTTCCCAATAGAAAGCTTGAATTTTTGGGGGGATAGGCTTACTCCAAATTTCTTTTACAAGGAAGTCCCTATCTGGGTTGTTAGGTGTGGCAAGAACACTAAAAAAGGAGAACAAGAGAAGAGACCATCTGAGGAGTCTTTCCATATTCTAGAATCTTCCAAGGATGGGTCCAAATGAACTTGTCCTATTAGATCCAACAGTTGAGCTAAAGAGGCACATTCATTTTTTCCCTGAGGCCCCTTCTAAATCCTAGATTCCAATTGACCCCATTTGGGCCAGGATTACCCAAAAT